ACTTGAAAGAGATGAAGGGAAATACTGGGTGTATAGTCTTAGTGAGTTGTTTTAAACAGATAACACTGATTGGTTAGTTAATTTTCGAACACATTTTTCTCTCTCAACCCAACATAAACGTACAATAATCAAATCAAATCAACGATTTTGTAGAAAAATTGATTTACTACTTATTTACATCCAGCTTGCGCTACCATACAAGCCCAACACATTCGGCGAAAAGTCTGTCACGCAGTCATTGACCTGAAATCACGCAAAACTTCCTCTGTTAGAAGTGTTTTGAGACACTTCAAATAAAGTTTGCGAAAGAGACCATCAATACTAAAAAAAAAAAAAAAACTTCAAACTACCACGCTAAACTTAAAGAAAAATGGTTTCTCGTTAAAAAAAAAATTATCTACACCCCAGCCCTCCCCTTAAATAACCGCGACTGAAAACCAAGTTCAGTTAAAATAGCGCGCATATAAAAAATCACATCCGTAAATCACTAAAGAATGTTAGTCTCAATTCACGAAACGACGCGTTCTTTGTAACATCATCCCGGCCCCGTGGTCCGTGCCAAGGCTCGATAGCACCACTCGGTTCAAGCCCGAAGCGCTCCGACTCTGATCCCGACTTCCCGAGCTATCTTGGCTGCATAAACGGAAACTGTAGTTGAGAGGAGTAACAAAGTTCTTCGAGAAAAAAGACGACACCAGTTGGCCAACATTTTAAATGAACATTGAATCTGTTGAATAGCGACCACGAATTAATAACGTGTGGCACCTGACTAATTTATCACAAAAATATTTCGACAAAATTTTTTCTTCCCTATTCAAACCACAAAACTATCACCCTCATACTATCAGGATGAACTCGTATGACTCTTTCCTAATGACTATCGCACGTTAAATTAAATACCAGCGCTGATAACTTAATGCTTGATTTTCAGCGCTTAACTTTGAGGGTGCAGAGTGACACTCAAGCCGTCGCTTATCCCGGAATGTTCTCCTTACTTCAGGAAGAGTGTCAGTTCGTTGGCACTTGTTCCTTCATTGATGGGTACCCTTAAGTTTGTGGAAAAACGGACGCAACTTTGTGCCGTCCATTTGAACGAAAGATGCTGGTAATTCCATTTCGAACCATCCCTCCAGAATAGGAATGGCTCCCTTCTGCCACGTGATCCACAATCTGGTTTGAAATGCAACCGAATCCACGACGATCATACCTTCAATGGAGGGCCAGGTTTTCTACGATAAGCCACTATTTACTTTGGCAAATTGACTCCCTTAAAAATAGAAAAATACAACACAAAAAAGAAAAGGAAAAAGGAAACATTCAAGGGTTAAAATCCATCATTGTACAATCACTCTGCTGCAGCAAAGTCCACGAAGAGCACACAACTCCTTTGACATGTCACACAACGTTTGACATCTCGCTCTCTCCTTTTGTGCTTTGCCGTAGTCCAACTAAATACTTTCACTGCTTTAATCTTAACCTCGTCAACCTCTAACTTCTATAAAACATGCCCTTATCCTCCACCGCAAACTTGCTCATATCGCCAACAGAAACAGTGAACCCATGCCGACATTAATGTCAAGAATAAAATGGCGCCGAGTTGCCGTTATAAGCAGAACTAGAGTCACTCGGTCTTGAACATTTTAGGCAGAGGTCTTCGTATGTTCCTCCTTGTAATAAACAAACGATAATCACTGTCATGTTGTCGCAGCCAAGGCCTCCCATCTGACAATCTGGGGCAAGGCATCTCGTAAGAAGCTCTTCACAAATCTAAAGACGAGAAAGGGCGAGGTTACATTTCAAGAAAGACGTTAGAGCTGTTTTCAATTGAGCATCAAAAGTGATCTTGGATTGCTTTTGGTGCTTCACGCGCCTAGTCCGTAAATGCGAACACTCAGAAGGAAGATAATCACTCCACACACCTGTTCAGGTTCCATTTTTTGAGCTATCCTAATTCTTACAAAATCGATTACTTCTTGATTGGACAGAACATCCCAGATACCTGTAAATAGGACAAGACGTAAGAGGTTACACACTTCACTTTATGAAAACTCAATGGGAGACGCGCTAATCCAGAGCGAAGTGCACTGGACACATAATTGTTCCCCGGTGGCGGATCCAGGGGAAGTGGTATCGGGACCTGTCCATCAGATCTGTGGGGTTTTTTTTTTTTTTTTCGGTACTTGTCTGCTATCAAAATACTTGCAAAACCTGGATCGCATACTACCAATCACTATGAAGTACTCAAAACTGATTTGTTTTGAAATAGTTTGCATATTAGGGCTATAGTGTAAATAAATAAAGGTTTTATTTGTTTGTTTGTTTTTAATCAAAGCTTGTATCCCTCCTAACAAGAATTTTCGGATCTGTCCCTTTTCTAAGTTAGTCATGAAACTATCACAATGCCTTTTTCAGGGCATGAGTTTAAATGAAAATTAGCCAGGAAGCCAAGTATGAGGCAATGAAACTTGATGAATTTTTTTTGGAAGGGGGGAAAGTGTGCTTCACTTAGGACAGACCAAATTACCGTCCAGTAAGAGTGGAATAATCCTATTTGCTTCAAGCTACAGAAACTGGGAATTAGTTCATCAATGAATGAAGCCCTGGTTGGATTGAAAGGAAACTTGACCGTTCCTTTGCACTACGGACAAATGAACAAAAACAATTTTTTTGGGCTCTGTTAAGAGGATGTTTAAAGCCCACGAAACTACCGTGATGGGAAGACAGCGTCTCTTAAGTACTCACCATCACAAGCTAAGACAATAAATTCATGATCCGGTGTAATTTCTTTCTGTATCACATCAGGCAGAGCTGAACAAACCAAAACAAAGCCATATAAATGAAAATTCATCACCTTATTCCGGAAAATCCTGAATTTCCTTCACTTTCAACTCACTAAACTAACATTGCCTTGGCGATCTGTAAAACTAGTTTCCTCTACGACAACCCCCTCATTTGATATCTATTATGTAATTATATGCATGAATATGATCTAAATTTGACTTCAGTAAATTTGACATATTAAACATAAACAGTACTGGTGAGGGTATTGCTGTAATTAATGGATGTAGATGGCTTAAGTCAACAGAACAATCAATGTCAAAAATTGTAGAAAAATCAAAGCTGTAAAGTGAAAATCACCTTAGGACTCCAGTCGTCCTCCTATTTCATTGAAAGCTAAACTACAGCAATGTTACAAAAGGCCCACTATTATTGTGTGTGTTGGGGATGGGTGGGTGGGTGCACAGCTGCCAAGGAGTTCTTTGACCTGTTTCTTGAAAATCCCGGTAATTAAACAGACTTGTAAAGCTGTTCTGTTTTTATTCAAGATTGGGGTTTCAAAAGTTTTGAAAACCATGCAATAAAACTATCAGATGAAGAAACAAAATGGACTGGTTAGGGTGCCAGAACCTGCTTCTCAATGTAAATTTTGAGTAACAGGGACTTTTGAGAAATGGGCCCGTGTTTTTGGCCCTTTTTGGTTAGAGTTGGGCTGAGGTTAAACCATTCGGCTCTGAAAAATCAGGTAGTGTTTTCTAGCTTCTCTAACGCTAGGTTCTGGAGTTCAGCTTGTTTTAAGAAGATGCATTTTTTATTCCACATAATTTTACTCCCTTATATAAACTATCTACTGATAACTAATCACACAGCTCACTTCACTGATATCAATACCTGTTACAATCTGCTCCTCTGGTGATTTCTTGTCATTCCTCTTGAAGCAAAAATCTCCAAGTGCTCTTGACAATGCTAAGTTGCCTATGGGTGAACACCAAAGAGGTAAGTGTTAATGCCACACAACCATGCTTAACCCTTTTAACCCTAAAAGTGACCAGTGCCTAAATTCTCTCTACAATAATACTGGTGAATCATTCATTTGAGATCATGAGAATAAAGAAAATGATCACAAGTTAAGAAGCTTTGATTGTTAAACAAATTCTCCTTGTCAGCACCAAAGGGAATGTATAGAGAACAGTATGGAGAATTTGGATACTGATGTTAGGGTGTAAAGGGTTGATATGATTTTTATGCATTTCTTGCCAACTACTCCCTAATCGTTGGCCCATACTATTACTCAAGTAGAGGATATACTGTTTGTATTAGTGGAGTGTCTAGGTAACAGCACAAGAGAGAGAAAATGATCATCATTAAAGAAGACAGAATGTGGTTATGGTGTAAACTATATCACATGGAGTTTCTACAATGACTCA